ATAAAAATTTAAAAGCATTTAAAATTTTCCGTACGTGTACGTTCTTATAAAAAACGCGTAAGTGGAAAGCAGCCTTAACTAGAAAGCAGCCCTAATACGTGTTGCGCGATTTTTATATTTAGTTTGATTTTAAATAAAGTCAAGGGAATTAAAAACAAAATTTTAACTGCCAGTATTTTACAGTAATATAGGTTTATATTGACTACATGACACTTTTCTAAATAACCGATCGGTAAAAAGGATTAAATTGCCATTCCGGCATTCAAATTGCCCAAGATAACGTAATGAAAGATTATAAAGCATTTTAACATTCTCATGCCAATAACAAAATCAAACTGATTATGGTTTTACTCACTTTCTGTTTGAAGTTGTTAAATTTAGATAATATTCTCTAAATGTCAACCATGCAGCAATATGTAATAGCAAGTGTCATGCATGATCACGTTCGAGGAACATTCTTGTCTAAATATTTTCTAAAAATTGTTACAGCTCTTCAGACAATTTCAAAAAATGGGTTTCTCTTTATCACATCAAAGCAAGACAAATCTTTTAGACATAATCGGCAAACACTTTTCGGACAGCATCGTGGAAGCCATTAAGGATGGTAAGAGGTTGCAAGGAACTGGTGATAATTGGGACATGAAAATTCATGTTCATGATATGCAGTCGTCCAATCAAAACCAAGATCTTCATTACTTTGCGTCTAACCTGATCGTGGAAAGAGTACCATGCGAAAATTTGTCAACAACGGTTCCTCATAGAGATATCGAAAAACTGCCAAATTCAGTTTTTCTACTAAATGATGATGAAGAAATTAAGTTATGTGAAGATTTCAAAATTTTGGTTGGAAGAGTCCTCGCCTCTTGTGTTGAAAGTTTGTCATTTTTGAACAGTGTAATACCTGATCATATATCACATAAATTCCAAAAAGAGATGTCTACAAAGTCCATTATCGTTCCTCTTCCCATGCAGTTAAAAGATGAAAAGAAGTACAGTGAGGTCGTTGACATCCTGGATTATTACGAGAATGAGCTGGAGGACATCTATACTAAAGCTGGAGTCATTCAAAAGCCAACCAAACAAACGAAACAGAATTTGGCATCAATTGACGGGCAGTCGTCCAGACCAGATCAACCAGGGCCACACTTCAATAAATTAGATGAAAATGACCACATGAAAGCTGTATCAGTTCCATTTGGAGGAGATCAAATGACCCGCGTGAGATTTGCTGGTGCAAAAGACTTGCGGGCAGGATCACATACAGCAAAGGCACGACTGGATCACTGCAGTCCATTTGTTTCTGAGTTATTTCACACCAAGCTGCAGGTATATAAAAGTAGAAAGTCAAGTAATTATATATAGTTGGTGAAAGATCATTGACATAGCCCATAGCTAACTTGATAATTGGGGTATACCTATTCATATACATTCATGTTTTGCAGTAATCTCTTTTGAAATTGATTACCATTGATAATCCATAAAATTGCTTTTATCAATAAAGCAACTATTTCATAGGACACCTTGTACCTAATAGGCTGACCTGTTTAATAATTACAGAAATAACTGCACCATGCCCCTGAACATTTTATTCTTTCTCTATGTGTGTTGTTTATAGTTTATAAGGGTTTCAAACACAGATGAAATATTAAACTATATAATGTACTGTACATGTATGTTCAATATAATTTTGTGTTTTTTAGTTTGTCTACAATCTCCTTCACAACTCTGGTTCTGTAAGAGAAATTAGTACCTTGAAATACTTCAGAGAGAAATATAATCGATTAAATGTGACACCTCAAAAGGTTACAAATTAGTATGAGGGTTCAGAGCAGTTCTTATTGAGTGTTGGGAAAGCATACATTCTGGAAGCTGCAATGGAGTTTTGGGGACTGAAAGATGTGAATGGTCCTCCAACAAAACACCATACCACCACATGGAATCATGCATATGAAGAGAGAAAAGAAGATGGAATATTTTGACAGAGTCATCAGTGCATTTGTTGATGAGTTTGTTATCCCAGACCCTGAGAAAGAAAACCCTAATACAATTTTGTTAGCTACAATATGGTACTCTGCCATCATAATGTCATCTACTAATTCACCAGTAAGGTGGGTTTAATAACAAGATTAATTAAATTAATGCACAATTGTGCACAATGCTTGCATTGATATTTATATAATCACCATGGTACTATTAATATTTAATAATATTTTTAACTAATATTTTTAACTAATGTAAGTACTTGACCAACAAAGTTTTATCTTATGTTTGCAGGTTTTATGGTTTAAACATAATACAGTTAGCTGTCTTCTTGATGCAACTTATCGATACATGCAAAGAAGGAGATGGTTTGAGGAATAACATCAACAAAAAGCTATTACTATTATATTTCAAATCAGCAAATTCCCATAACTACGCCCTGGAAATGTTCACAAGTATTGCCCAAATTGAAGCTATTGCATCAGAGAAAATGGCACATAGGCTCACATGGGGACGATTTGTAAACTGGCATGGCGGTAAAGGAAGGAATATTTCTTGTGACATGGCACAAGAAATATGTAACAGAGTAAGCAAAGTTGTCATTAAAGCAATGGGGCCAAATAAAACACCAAAGGCCATCATAAAGGCATCTAAAGCAGCAGCTGGTGTTCAGCAGATTGTAAAAAGAGTTAACGAGATATCACACATTTCAAGAGTGTCAGAAGTGCACAGTCACAAAAGTTCGACAGAAGATGAAATGATGATGCTAAAAGATTTGAGAAAGATAAAGCCATTTGAGAGGAAACCAGGAAGAAAGCATACCCATTTTGAAGAAATTCAAGTTTCACCGACTAGTGGATTAGACATGAAAAACCTTTTCATTTGGCTTGAAAAACACAAGAAACTGATTGCAATGGGTCAAAAATAATTTGCATGTCCCGCAAGGTAGTGGCATTACCAGTTGGTTAGTATTAAATGAGAAAGTATATACAGCTACGGAGCTACCAGATACTTCATGAAAGACAAAAAGTAAACCAATTCTTGACACATGTAAATTTATTTGTTCAAAGGGTCTTAATTTTGAGTGCAGTCATACACATTTCAAATTCAAGCCAGGAAAAGTTGAGAAACATGAGTCAACTATTGGTCCTCCGGCAGGAATCAAACCTACACTTTTGCGATGCCAATGCAATGTTCTTAGGCACACTGAGCTAGAGGTAGCTGACAAGAGCAAGCGTGGTCAATGTGTATTTAAGATGATAATGCCGAAAGCAGGTGAGCGTAAATGAATTATGATTTTGTGGCACTTCACTCAATGTAGAGATACAAATTAAGGGACTTAATTTCGAGTGTGTATAATTCCACTCGAAATTAAGAACCTTTGAACCTCTACAATCCTTGGCGGGTCTAGTTAAGGCCCTTTATTTAGAAGAGAAATATAGAATGATTACGAAAAAATATGACGCTTTTCTATACGAGATAAACTGTTTATATAAAATTACCTTCAGCCTTCACGTGCTTCGCCAGTATATTAAAACTTGAGAACCAAAATTCACGAAACATTCCATTCAAAAATGAAAAATGTTACCCCATCAAATAACTTGTTTGAAATTGACCATCAACTGTAAAAAGCTTATTCGAAGCAGTAAAATTCGTCTCCAATAGATGTATACTAGAAGTTACTATCGCAAGTGAAGTGCTGCCTTGCAGAATGCGGTAGCCACAGTTAAGCCTAGGATATAACGTAAAATACAAAGCAAACTTCCTGACAGCGTGTCTATAAATTTGGAAATATTTCTTCATTACATTACATCACATCATATTACTCATTACTAACATTACACATGACATTACATTACATTAGTTAACATTACACATAACAACACAACAACAGAACACAATGGAGAATTCTATTTACATAAATTTATCCGACAAATAACACTGTATGTGTGTATTTTGTCCAAAGTCAAACTACAAATGCTTGAAAAATAGTTCTCTTTAAGTTGAAGTTCATCTCATCACATTTAGTATATTACTGCAATACTGGCATGGCTACTGCTTATACCATTAGTTCATTTGGATTACTTGATAAATTGTTCGTTAATGCTTTTGTAGTAGAACACTGTCAATAACAAATTAAATTACGTTTCTTTGGAACTACCAGGCCCGTGACCGCCAAATAAATTTGGTTCAGTTGCCCACGGATGCTGTACGATTGACAAGTAACAGTATACCGTACATGTCTCGTCGTGTATTACTATATTAACTCTTTTTGCGCGTAAAATCATGTTTCTTCACTTTCCTGCACGGATCATTTTCAAAAGATGAGTGTTTTCAGTTTGAACAAGTCAATAGTAATTCCAATGTTTTCGGCAAAAACCAGTGTCCAGTAATGCTATAGTGCTTGATAATCTAGTTGAACAAATTAAATGACGTTATTTCGAATTAGCAGGTCCATGACGGTACATGAATTTGGTTCAGTTGTCCAAAGATACCGTACGACCAACAGGTAACAGTAAACCGTACATGTCTCTTCCTGTATTACTCTTGTTTCGCGCTTGTTTCATGTTTCTTGACTTTCTTACACAAATCATTTTCATAAGATGACTAACACACTACAGTTTGATAGTGTTTTCGTTATTTACTGTAATCCAATTGTTTGAACAGTCTGGTTAAATTCCAATGTTTTTTGCAAAAACCAGTGTCCAGTAATGCCATTGTGTTTGCTAATCCAGTTGCTCTTTCATATTTCTATCCAGAAGTAAGAATCTACAAAATAAAAGAACATAATTTTTAGAATACACTACAATAGCCCTAGGCCTAGCCTAATGAACGTCGTAAAGGGGGAGTGAAGTAAAAAAAACACCATATAACGCGTTGATGAACATACTTTCACACATACAGTGGCAATAAATATACAATTGATATAAGATACAGAACACAGTTAACATACAGAATAAAGTGTAATGCGACATATAACAGAATTCCATGTCTAATTTCAAACTCCATGGTTTGTCAATTTAAAATGCACTGCTATTGGTAGTCAGTGCTAAACGATCTAGGCGGTTTTCTTCCTCAAGCCTGTATTGTAAATTAGCCGATGATTTCAAACTTGTTAATCGTTCATATGTCATGGGTTCAATGACGCAAGATGAAAGCGACTTCACTCTGCTTATGGCAACGTATGAAACTCCAGCAGTTCTTTCTGATTTTCCAATATCTATCCAAGCTTTTGGAAGAGTAAGTCCTTGGCTCTTGTGTATCGTTAGAGCCCAGGCAAGTCTCAGAGGCAGCTGTTGCCGCTCATGAAAACCAGTTTCTGACTGTGAGGAGACTGTGATTGGACATATTGGAACGCAAGATGGTTTGTTCATATTAAAAACAGGACCTCTCTCAAACTCAATAATGACCGCAATAGGCAAGTCAGGTGGTTGATGGTTGTTCTGATAGACAATATCAACAACTGTTCCAGTAGCTCCACACTTGACCACAAATTCATGGTTAACATAACTCTAGCACCTTTTGCTAGAAACACAACAGGTTCCAACCCAGACATATCATCTGAGGACATCTTTTGGCCAATGCAGAGCATTAATATGAGCAATTTGATGCTCAATTTGTTAGCTGTTCATTATTGTAATTTGCAACTTGTTCATTACTATAGAAGAGTCTAGTCTCTTCAAAGTCACATCATTTGATGGTTGACGTGTCAGAAGTAATTTCCAGTATCGACTGTTGACTCACCTTTGCGAAGTCGTCTCCTCTGAAACTGTATTTGTTCAGATGTCATACCTTGCACACGTTGATTTACAGTGAGCTTAACACTTTGTCAACATATGATATGCTTGATACCTTGTTCGCCAACAGCATTTGATGGTTTAGCATGATAAAGAGGCTTATCTGCCACTGGTGGCAATTGACCTGGATCAGTAGTTAATTAGTGATTTTCCACCAAATACTTTGTCATTATAACCAGTTGCTTGTTTGCAACGCTTGTCTATCCAACCAAAAGTAACTTGGCCAAGCATGGAGTATTCATCAATAATGATGTACCCAATGTTATTAACACTCTCCTGTAATCTACACAAGCTTTGTCCTGTTAAGTCTTTATTGCCTCTTGACCCTATAGGTAACTTTAACAGGGAGTGCACAGTTACACCTTTAATGTTATAAGCTGCTTTACCTGTGGTAGCAGCAATCACACATTTACTTTGCAAAACATTTCTAAGAGCATTAATAAGGTAACTTTTACCTGTCCCTGCAACACCATTTATAATTAGACATAATGGATCTTTTTCAGGTGATGTATCATCAAAATGAGACTTAACAATGTCAAAGGCAAGTTTTTGCATTTCACTAAAACTGTTTATGTCAACAACATCATATTGCTCATCAATAGTGTAGTCCTCTTTGTTTGTTTTTATCCAGGTTGGCATTTCATGAATTTGTTGTTCGGAATAATTGCCTCTATCAACATGCCAATCATATGTTGACTCTGGTGTTTGTTCAGAGTTCTCAAAAGGAGTGTGAAGGTCTGATAATATCATCCACTCTTCTCGTGTTACCTCTTGTTCTTCAGAAGGTTCATCTTCTGGTTCTTGACTTTGGATGACAGCTTGTAATTTGTCAAACCAGTCTGGGACATTAGATTGTCCATAAGGTGTTTGCAAGAATTGTTGCCAAGAATTGATTAGAACCTCGTCAGTTGGTTCTTGGTCACCCCACGCATTGTTTTGAGTTGTTTGCCAAGGTTTATACCTTAAGAGTTGATATTTACAATATAGTCCAAAATTTGGACCTTTGGGATTAGGAGAATACGTTGGGAATATTCTCGGTATAACATTATCTGGCAATCTTATCAGTTCATTGTTAACAACTTTATATGTTGTGGCAAATTGAACAAAATTCATATTCATGATATTTTGCGAACTGTCATATTGCTCACGATTAGCGTACACATCGAGAAGTGAGTAATCGGTGCATGACTCACCTTCTTCAATACTTGCAGTGTCACATACTCTACGTGAACTATTTAAACTAACAGGTATCACATTAAATGATGAGCTATGAAGTTTTAAAGACAACAAATGATGCATTGTTTCCTGAGCAGCATAATCTCGTTCACCAAGAGATCTCATAACTACCTTCTTAATAGCTCTGCGAGGATCAGTATTACTGTCAACATTTTGCATAATAGAGTTAAATGCCTGTTTCAATAAAGGTGACCTTGGTTCACCTTTAGCAACATATTTTGTGAGATATTCAACACAAGCATAGTGATCAATAACAACTTGAATATCACAATTTGCTCTCCATCCCTGCAGTTAAAGTTGTTGGTGATTATTTAACCTAGCATCGTTTCGTTTAGTCACAATTTTCCTATATTGTTCATTATCTCCAGAAGCGTGGATTTTTTCAAATTCTAACTTTGTCTGTGGGCAATTATCAAATGGGAAATGAAATCTACATTTCATTTCAGTCTCATTTGACTTTTTTCGTAGACAATAGCAGTACTACAACGAGTGTGTCGTTGAACCATATTTAAAAGATCTACATAATCTGATTGTTTTTCATGTTCAGGAATGTCCTGATGCCTTTTTTGACATGGATGAATCTCAGGTCTTATCCACATGTCTTTATCTGGTGGATTAGGATTTACAGTTGATAGTAACCAATCAGCATACTGACATACTGTTTCAGCTGCTTTCTGACCAGCTTTTATATCATTGTCTAACTCTGTTGAATCAGAACAATCATTCTCATCTTTAAATTTTTGAGCCAAGAAGCCTTTCAAAGCAGTTTGGGTAAGCTGACACAAGCCTGGGTCATTATTTAGTTTAGCAGTACCATGACAATGAATACTACCTCTACCTCGGTATTCGTATCTAAACCAGTGCCATTTAGCACCAAGTGTTTCATAAAGCCAATGTTTAACAAAGCTTTCCAATCTCTGAGTAAAAAACCAGTCTACAAGATGTGGATTATTAATGACATTTTGTCGTTTAACCTGACTGGTAGAATTACCAGCTCCACAATCATTATCAGCTTTAAACAGATCATGTAACTCAGGCCAATGCATGTCTGCAGAGGAAAAAGTGAAAAATAATGTTGGCGCTCCAACAATAGTTATTATGGCTTTGAGTTCGTCTCTTACTTTATTCCAGTAAGCATTAGTTCCAGCAATATTGCCGACATATCTGGACACTTTAGACATAAACACATTAGCATTGTTACCGGCAGCCATTTCTCGCAGTTCATCAATAGTGAGATGTGCTTCACTTGGATTTTGTTTTAAGAATATCCCACTTTGCTGTAAGATTCGCTTTCTTTGAATCATGTTAAATGCCCAATATGAAAATCGGGGATGATTGGCAAAACGGTATACCCAGTTACCATCAATAATCTCGGCAAATTTTAAAAGATGCTTTATTCGTTCATGAAAAGGGACATCTCTCAGGAGCCCTTGATTAGTAGGATCACCTTTCCCATCAGGAAATAAAGTTGGGAAAGCCATTGTGGCTAGATGTGATACTTGATACTCATTTAACGGTTCATTCTCAACTGTGGGCCATTCTATTGGCTCATTTTCAGATAGCTGATTTCTCACAGCTTCAATTTCTTGTTGCTGTTGTTCACCGACAGGTAAAAAACTACTCATTTCTGTTGAGTTATTGTAAACAATATCCTCTGATGGGTTATCAGTAGGTGGACCTACATCAGGGGAACAATTGTCATCAGAGACTATATCATCATCAGTCTCAACAGTCATAAGGTCTGATGGTACGCCGTTTTCAGGTAATGAATTTAATGCATCTTCATTAATTGGTAACTCAGAATAATGTGGGTTATTATTGATCAGCCAAAGTAAAGCATTGTGCACTTTTTCTTTTCGCACGGTAAAATTCTTGAATGTGTTGTCTTTACCATTAACCCTCACAATAATCACAGCCAAGTCTTTAGGGTATCTTGGCAAAGACTTTGCAAGTTCTGTGACATTTTGAGGCAAGTTAATACAATGCCCTGAATAACCTCGTTGACCACCAGGTTTAATGTAAACTCTCATGATAGGAAGAGCACGAGCAATTAACATTTCCTCAATCTGAGTTAAATTTTGCAAGTCATGTGGAACATGTGAAGGTATCATTGAATTTTCACAAGAAAATTTTTTAGGAGATTTTTTATCCCTAGAGCATCGTGAACAGACATAATTAGCAGCTGACTTCGATTTAGATTTTAATGGCCACACCTCTTGACAAATTGTGCACTGACTGATGGAATATTGAACAGATTTATGAAATTTAGTAATGTTAGCTTTTGCCCAACTTTGGCTATGGATACTTCCATTTTTTATAATGTCAAATTGTTTCAAATAATATTGCTGACTGACAATGTTGCTGCTGCTACTTTGTTCATGTGGAACTTGGTTTTTATTGTTTTCAGTAACAGTTTTTTCTGTTTGTTTTCTTTTTTTATATTTCCTAGCATTTTTTAGTCTAGTTTGCTTCTTGTTTTCAGTTTCTATTGCTAGTTTTTCTCTCTGATATTTTTTATCATTTTCTAGTCTGGCTTGCTTGTCATTTTCGCTTTCTGTAGCTCGTTTTCTTTTTCGATATTTTCTGTCATTTTCCAAAATTCTAGTTCGTTTCTCATTTGGGGTTCCATGTAAATCTTTTTCTTTTGCAGCTGAGCTTTCAAACACATTAGCGGTATTTTGATGGGTTATCTCGGAATTTTGTAATTCATGAACACTGACGCCCTTGACTTCAAAAGGTGTGACATTACCTTGTGGTACAGTATTTTGGAAATAAATTATAAGATTATTTATATCTGGAACAGAAACTAATACACATTTCCCAAATGGGTGTACAATGCCATATAAATCCCTGGAATGAGGATCAAAAATTTTGAAATTTCTGTCAGGAGTTTTCAAAATTGCAACAGTGTTGCAATCAATGGTCAACAGACAATATTGATAATTCAATTCAGAATTGAAAACAGATTATTGAGAGCATTCTCTAATGAATAGTGAGGTAAATTGTCAGTTGTCATAGACAAATCACCAGCAAATGGGTTACTGTATTGCAAATAATAGATCTTATCAAAAATTGAAACCATTTCAGGCAAATCAGTTAAGAGCAAGAAGGATTTATTAATAGAGGTGCTTATACAACTATAAAGGCTATTTCCAGCACACAATATAACATTCAAGAATGATGAATCCCATTCGTCAATATTCTTTAGTTGATTATGTAGAACTGCAGTCAAACACATAGCAACACACTGTTTGCCAGCATTTTCTCTAAAGTTTTTTTGTATTGCCTTGGCTAAAATCAGCACATATTGTTTGGCTTGGGTCAACGACATTGTATGTTGTGGGCCCAGGATTTTCTTCGACATCATTTGCCATTCTCAACAACAGTGGAACATACACAATGCTATACTGTAATATTTGAGTGAACAACATTATCACTTGTTTCAAAATTTTGTTCCAAAATAAAATATGGCGCTCAGTATATTTCTTTGTTGGAAAATAAAATATGGTACTCAGGTACCATATTCGTACCAATATTATTATCATCATAATTGTTAATATAAACTGAAATATAAATATCAACATTGGAAAACAAATGTTGCCTTCGAGGCAAGCGGAATTCTGTTTGATTTTTGTGTTATGATGTGCGCCAATTCGGGCACGGTATTGCTCGATTGTTACTCCCATTTATGAGAGATCAATTGCCAGTTCTTTCTTCAAACTATATAATACAACAGACTTTTACTGCCTGAGTTTGAGCTTCGTTTTGCGTATTCAATATACGATATGCCAACAGGCAAAAATTATGCCTTTGTTTGTATTTTATATTAAGCGAGCACCACGGCTTCGCTATGTTTAGTTTTATAAAAGCACAATGGCTTCGTTTGATTGCAAATAGTGTTTGATTCAAATGCTGACCAGCGTGAACACAATGGCTCTTGTGAGAACAAATGAACTCACACCACATATACCTATAAACAAAAAAAACAACATTGAAACCTCCTGGATAAATGTTCGCCAGAAGCCGATACTATTAAAGTTAATAGCACCATGGATAATATAAAAGGTCTTTTATACTATTCATGAGAGCACGTGGAGTCGTGGACAACATTTGTAACACTGAATAAAAAATCTAACATTTCCTTGAGAAATGAGAATTCAGACCTATATCAATTGACTAAGAGACATACGGGTGATCACAGGTGTCTTACCTTGCCAAAAGAATCTTTAGACGAACAATTAAATGAATTAATGTGGTAGAAATCGAGATATCAATAGAAATAATAGCTCTATAGCGATTAACCTGCAGTTTGCATAGAGTTCACACAAGTGGGGGGCAGCAGGGACAGCCGGTCGTGGTCGAACCGGAAGTCATTGAACACCCGCACCCATTTCTGGCTACGGCCTATTATATTGGCTATTATACAAGACAAAGTTACTGTATGGCTAGTTCAGGTACGTTATTACAGAATACTGTAAGTTATATCCTACGACCAGGCTTTAGAACTATATACTTGACCGGGTGCTTACTGTAAATTATGTTGAGGTTTTTTGAGGCCTGTTAGCTAGTGGCTCAATGAAAAGTCCATTTAGATAAAAATCTGTCGCAAACACCATTTACAGGTATAATTAACACTTGGTTTGATCAAACTGTAAACTCTGCTGCTAATGGTAGCATTGAAAGCATTGAAGTTTGATCTCAGGTAGACAATTAAATAAGTTGGAAAAAAATTGTACAAAACTCAACCTTTAATAATAACTTTATAGAAAAGTAACATGAACTAAAGAAAATACAAATGTCATTCCTGAGGAACATAGGAAATAGAAATTGTTGGCAACATATTGAGTTCTTGTTGTCACATACAATAAGTGAATAGAATTACCTTGTGCCATTAATTAATGAACTTAAGTAACATGAACTGAAACACAATCAATATCATTTGTGGACAACATGCATGTTATCAACAATAGTTTGAGTTTATGTTTTTATAACCCAATATTTAATGAACAAGTAAAATGAACTGATTAAACACAAACAAAGTCATTTGTCTCAACATACCATGGTGTTATGAACAACAGTTTGAGTTTGTCTTTAAAACTCAATATTATATATTTGTTACTTTAGAAGTGACAGAGTCAAAGGTAACAGAGATGTCCTTTTCTGCCTGCAAGATTGCTATGAGAATTTCATCTTCTGTTGTATCATTCAGGTCAACAGCAATGCCCAATTTTTCCACAAGCTGCTTGACATCATTGGGGTAAAATGAGAGCTTTTGCTTTTGTTCTGTGTTATCAACATTTTGGACCAGTGCTTTTATGAACCACTGTGTTGCACACGAACTAAGAACTTGGCTCATCTTGCATGATGTGCACTCACCAAGAATACCATTTGCATGTTGGTTAACACTCTTGCCACACGATCTGCAGGAAGGCTGCTTCAAAGCTTGCTGGATACCCAATATTCTGGCAGTCCATGTAATTGATGTGACCACAGACAAATCCTCCGCAACATCAACCAATGGATGTGTAAATGGCTCTTTTTCTGTGTGGGTAAACTTTTCTGTTTTGGCAGTGTTTAGATATCTGTCAGTCTTGGTAACTTTGACACGAAGATTCTTTAAAAGGTAGGTTTTGTTTAGTTCCAGAGATCCAACATAATCTTCCCATAATATTACTTTTGTTGATGAAGTTGTATCTCTCACAATAGCTTCTTGTTTTTTCAGTTTTCCATGGTGCTGTGTGTTGAGATATTTGATGCCTGATAGCTCAGCAACTTCGCCTTTGAGTGAAACAATTTGTTCCCCTGCTACATTTTGAAGGGAGGATATGTTGGGAATGAGCCCATCTTCATTGCAAATTTCAGTGCGTGGGAAGTCAATTTCATCAATTGGCAATGGTGTGATTTTTGTATACTTGTTAATAAAGATATCTTGGCGTTGTTTCTGATAATTTTTTATCTTCACTGGCGATTTCACTTTTTCGAGTGTTTTTAATTCAGTTTGCTTCTCTGGCGAGAAGCACACAGCTCTCACCAATTCCTCTTTAGTTTGGAGAATAAGATCAAAAAAACGCCTTTCACTTGTTGAAGCTTTTTTTACAGGTGACACTGCATGAATGTAACATGTAGCTTCAGAAGTAACTTCAGAAGAAGTACAACCTGTTGATTTGATAAGATATTTTAGCATATTTTCAGCAACAATTGACCTTCAATAGTTAATTAAATAATCTATAAGGCCATAATCAGACCTCTGAAAATAATCAATCGTGGTGGTAATGCCTCTCATAAGTGCACTTGCTAGGAGTAATGTCAAATTTTGACAAAACGACAAATCATGGCTGCAATGCCTATAGCCCTGGGCTAGTTTGTCAAAAACTGCGAGTTTCAGTTTGATAGTCTGGCAGTTAAATGCGTTTCTAAGTTTATTGTCCAGTCAGATGAGTAGTTTTGAAGTAAACCCAGAAATCAACAGTCAATTTATGCAAACGTAAACACGATCACCGACATCCAAACGAAGGCCATATTCATGCAACAAAACATGTTAAATATCTTCGTATAATTTAAGCCAATTTGGAATATTAACCCAGATTTGTTTATTTTATAACCTAGATAATATAATCGCAATCTTGTAATACACTGGCATATACTTTGGCGAAAGCAGACAGCATTCACACAAATACGGAAAACTTATAATGCGACCGGCGCTTTACGCCTGAGCGGGGTTGCTCGAAAAAGCAAAGCAGTTGTTTTACAGTTCACTGACAAAAAACCTGATATCACTTGCATACAAACAAATAGCAAAAAGCTATAATAATAGTATTAACAAAAAGGAATACAGCCAAGCGGTGGAAAAATTATTACTCATTACTGTGTTTATACATGTAATTATTTACTTGCACATTACAAAATAGGCTACCTTTCAGTAAAATATTCAAAAGTAAATCAAAGACTACAGCCAAGATTTATTACAGCCAAGTATTCCGCTTCGTTTTTATCTTGTTTTTATATCTTGTTATTCCTCGTATTTGCTTTTAATCCGCGTGAAAGTGAAGAATTTATG